AATTTTGGTAGAAACAAACATGTAACCCTTCTCTCATAATGTTCAGCGCCTAGTAACTGCTCATATGGAACTGAAGTACGAGAGTGTGCTTATTGACGCACTACATCGAGCAAATATCGTGGACGTGTCACTTATGCACGAAGATTCCAATAGAGCAATAATAGCCACTGCAGCCGAAGATCACTCTATTGTGATTTTTTCTCTGGACAGTGAAACAAATGGTTTGCAGAAGACTTTGATTTTCATGGATTTCCATATTTTTCTTTAGGACGAACAGACAAAATAACTGTGTACAACGAAGCTAAGCCAACGTGCTTATGCTCCCATCCATTCATTCGTAGTGAATGGTTACTTTATGTTGGTGGCGAAAAAGGCAGTGTAGCTTCTTGGCTTGTAACATCACGTGGTACGTGTATAGAGATTAGGTTCAACTTTGAGCCATTTTTGCTAGAACAGAGTTTTCCGAATGTTTCTCATTTCAGACCTTCGGGTTTCTGATCCAAAATATATCGTTTCTTCGGTATATCGTCGAGATCGTTACAGTGCCCGAGTTATGTCTATTGCTACAAATCGCAATGTATGTATAGGCGAGTAGAATTCATTCGCATGTTCAATTGTACATTACGCGCGCTCACCGAAGTAACTTCATTATAATTATGCCAGTTGTGTCATTTCTATGAGACTCCTTGCAGATTTCAAGAAAGCATTATAATGAACAATTTATAAGAGCGAGAATATCAATATAAAAAGCAATCGGCATCTATTATCTAGAACTGGTGATTTTTTTGAACCGTATTTGACACTACTTGTTATGTGCAACATCGGAGGGCTCCAATTCACTCCTTATCTTGCTCTTGCTACCTATGGTCATCTTATTGCTGTCGATACAGTGATCGCAGTAAACACTGAACCACCAATATTTCTTGTTTCATACTTCTTAATTCTTATACGGGGCCACCCTTGACTCAAGAGTCTCAGCGCTTGCATACAGCATATGATTACGGGTCAAAACTTGTGATAAGTTGAGATCAAACAAGTAGAAGGTATGATGATTGTAATAAGTAACTTCAAATATCTCATGTGAAGACGGGAAAAGGCTAAAAAAGCAATATGAAAATAGTTCAATTATGGCAAAGTTGAGTTTCGGAGTTTTCGGGATGATCGCGCAAGATGTGCAACTAACATGCGAACGAATTTCATTTAACAGTAAATGAAAAGTTTTTCAATTCAGAAATGTTTCAGATATTGCTATTAGTGTTGTGTGACCAGCATTGCAATTCCTCCTTAACTTGCTATTAAACTTCTCAGCATACGATTGTCATTTGAAATACTAATCTTTGAAACAGTACCATCATTTGATTAGCATTCTTCCGTAAATTTTGAAATTTTAGTGTGAATGTGAGGTGCATCCTAACCATTACGTTGTCATTGCTTACGCAGATGGGATACTGGAGTAAGCTACTATGTCTTAATAATCTTGATCCCAGAGACGTTTCTAAAGATGCTCCATTTAGTATTGTACAGTCGAGTTTGATCGAAGATCAGCCGGGTTTCGCGTTGCAATTGCTGAAACGCATCGATAGCGCTACCGAGCTCTCCGTTCCCTCACAAGTGGCTTCATTTACGAACCTAATGAGTTTGTCTAGCTTTTCTCTCATGGATCTCATGTTTAGGTGTTTTTGCGTATTGGTTTAAATGGACAGTTAGAAATCAGTCTAGCTACCACCTCTGGAAGACATGGATTCCACTATTTCGTTCCCAGGCAGTGGTACTTGCATACTGGTGGAAGCGTGAGTATATAGATTCCAGCATATCTCTGAAATTTTCTTCTTCTTTCTTCTTTCTTTCCTTAGCGTCTTGGAAACCTATTATAGGATTGTATAGAAGAGTGTGGGTTGTCTGCCATTTTTGTGTATCCTGTAGAAGAGAGCGGGGAAAAAATTGTTGCATTTGGCTCCGAATCTGGATGCATCACGCTTGCTGTTTCCTCCTGGAGTAAGACGACAATCACTGCCTCAGCAAAATTTCATTCAGGAACAGTTTCTGGTGAGGAATGCGGAGTCTTGCGGTTTAAATCATTATTGCTCGAATCATTGCACTTTCAGCTCTTCAAGGTAGTCGTGTTCAAGGTGTATACTGCTTAGTCTCGGTCTCCCTGGACTGTCGCTTGGCAGTCTGGAGGATAAGTGATGATGCAAAGGAGGCTGGTTCAACTTCGCTTCCCCAGCTGCATGCTTATGCTCTTCTTGAATTTTAGATAGCGATTGTGCAGATTCTCGCCTTGGATGTTCGTGATCCCTCATCTATCGCATTTGTCCGGTGAATGATCAATTTTATTTGGA